GCTGTGCTATAGTTCGATCTCAGGCTAACGTCACAATGCGACGTTGTAATATTACAGACAGAATATCGGAGTTTGTAAACAAAAGCTAAGGAAAGTGCGATGTGTAACTTTTGTATCATAGAGAACTTTTCATTGTGGTCCAAGAGGAGAAATGAGTAAAAGGAGCAACTCACAAAANGGGAAGGGGGGGGGGGAAAGGCATTTCGCCTATTTCGTCGAACTGATAGTTCTCTTGTCCAGAAAGCAGATGAAAGTCTGGGTATCTTACGGTAACGAATTTTGTATTTCTCTATCGAACGAAACCAAGCGGCATTGGCGACTTGCATTCAGGAAGTAGGTGCCTTTTTCGAACTTCCGCCGGGGATACCGACCATTTTCAATTAAGACTTTTGCCCGTTTTCCTCCGTCTGTCCAGAAAAATGTCGGAATAAGTTATCAAATTATCCCTCCACTACCATTTCCCTCTGCACCCTTTCCAGTTTATTATTCATTGGCCATATTATCATTAGATGTATAACATAAACTACTGACATCGTCTTGAAATTAAATATTGTGACATGAAGGATATTCTACGAAGCGAATTGGCGAACACACTGCCGCGGAGATACGATTCGTAAGCACAAACCATCGCTAAATGTTAATCGTCCCCGCAGATATGCAAATGGAAAGTGTAGACTCTTGGAAACTAGACCGTTTCTGCGGGAGCAACAGACACTTACCACTAATACTGCTAGGCTCTATAAGAACGCATGCCGGTCACGGTAGCCGAGCGGTCTAAGGCATGCACTGTCTTCGCTCGCTCGGAAGCCGGGAACGTGGGTTCGAATCCCACTCAGGACATGGATGTTTGTGTGCGTTTTTCTGTGTTTGTCTACAGGTAGAGGCCTTGTGACGAGCTGATCACTCTCCCAAGGAGTCCTACCGAATGTGTAGTCCTACCGAGTGTTTGGAAAATTAAACCCAAGTCAGTTACAGCAGAAGGAAGATTAGAAGAGAAGACACTCGTAGTCCATCCAGAATATAGCGAGTCTTAGGAAGTCATTGATAATGAGCTCTTATATTTGGTTGTGATTAAGAGAGATTGTAAGGAAGGCTTCAGTAGATCCAATCATGCATTCCAAAACCCATTACTATTGGTCACGGAACGCCGAACACGTGACAGTATGAAATAAAATAAAAAAAATGGAAACATAATTAACCATGGGTCGCACCGATGTGACAACCACTGACTTCGAATATTGCTGTAATGGTAGCCATGAGATATGTTTTGCAGGGAAATGGGATCTCATTTAATTCCCATAAGGACCCTTATATTTTCCCGCTTTTTTGGAAGAGTTTGGTATAAAGTCCGTTACACAATTCTGGGCATAAGTAACGTTCATCGAGGCAAAAAAATGGACTAAGCATTCGCTGTTCCAGACGAGGGCTGTTTTTTTTCTTCTTTTTGTGAGCATCTTCCTAGGTACGGAGTTCGGGACTTCTCAGGCTCCGGTGTCTCTAGACTCCAGCACAGAGAGCGTTCTCACCTAGTCTGTTGGTAAAATATTCCGAATTGCATCTTCAAATAACCAGTGATTCTTTCTCTTATCTCGAAGCCTGTCATTAACGGCTCATTAAGGTTTCACCATTTTGCACTACGATAAATTACCCGCAAGGTTGAAAAATCTTCCAAGTACAAATCGAAAAATCAATAAACTCAAGGAAGTAATGACACAGTTCATTCTATAGCAAGCGTTCCTTGTATTTAGGAAGTCCGTGCTCGACTCTCGGAATAAAAAAGATTTTTCATTCTTTTACTCATATTTCTCCGTGCGGATATTAGGGTTAAACTTTACTTTAAGCTACTTAAAGTTCTCGGGTTTTCAAATTCTTACCTGCTTAACTTCCACTGGGTAGTTTTTCTTCTCATTCTAAATTTTGTAACTGAGACAGCATGATTAAAAATCTTTTTTTTTTTATTTCCTGAGGTGCAGTGAGACCAAGTCCACTTGGTGCGTAGGCCACTAATTAGCAAATTTTACCAGCCTCGGATGACAGTAATGATAGATGTGGAGCAGTTGGTGGTATGCTAATTTGTAGGAGGAACCGAAATACTCGGTAAAAACTTGCTCCAATGCCACTTTGTCCACCAAAAATGCCATATGACATGACATAGGCTCGAACCCAGGCCGCCGCGGTGGGAAGACTGCGACTAACCGCCTGAGTGTTGGCACGTCCTAGCATGTTTAAATATCTAACCTATGAACGAATGAGTCAATCATGGTGAAAGGGAAGCGTAATAGAACTGTAAATACAGTTACTGACTGAGAGGATGACAAAGGATATTGGATTGTATGCGATTTCTATTTTCACCATCCTTGCTGCTAGTGGCTCGTCCAACCCGTACCTGGGTCCTTTCTCTCAGGTAAAACTGGCGTATTAAGGAAGAGAACACTCATGCCTATATCTTTTTCTGCCACATCCAGAGTAACTTAACATAACTTAGTGCTAGCAGAATCCAGATAGTTTACATGGTACGTTTACTGATTCTTATATTTAACTTCAACAAGCGAGCATTTCTCTGAAGAAAGCAGTCTTCTGGGATTTGACAGCGTGTATATGTGGTGTTAACCGACGTTTCGGAGGAACGTATCGCCTCCATCTTCAGGTTAGAAGAAAAAATATAAGAAATCTTCAGGCGAAGAGACCGTGAGAACCGGTAAAAGCAGACTCACGGTCTCTTCGCCTGCAGATTTCTTATATTTTTTCTTGTACCCTGAAGATGGAGGCGATACGTTCCTCCGAAACGTCGGTTAACACCACATATACACGGTGCCAGACCCCAGAAGACTGCTTTCTTCATAGTCACCGCCGTGAAAGCCTCAAATCTTACAGAGCATTTCTCTTGTTTCCCGCGTGTGTCACATGCAGCGCTCATCTCTTGTCCTCCCTGAGTTGATGTCCTAATAGTATTCAGAGAGAAGAACAATTTACGAAGCTCCTCATTATGGACATTTCTCCGACCTCCTTTTACTTCACCTTATTTAGTACCAAATTATCTCTTCAGCATCCTGCTCTTGAACGCCCTGGCTGTGCTTGCACTTAGTGCAAGAGACTGATTTTGAAACCCGTAATAACCGTATTAGATAGTGAGAAGTTGTGTGTTCACTGAAATCTATAATGCAGAGCAACATACATTTCCTCTTAATCCTTTACTTTAAGCTAATTCTCGAAACTTTAAGTCACAGACTTCGGTCTTAATGATGTCTAGACCTTTCTTTCGGTGAATTTTATTAAGCACGTTTTACCTGTTTGTATACTCTGTGGCCTTTAGTCCGCAAGCGAACTTTACCGAACGAGCGACCGCCGTTTGTCGGCGAAGTTGGTGCCAACTTTGCGGATAAGGCCGCGCCATAGCTCAAGCGGTTAGTCGATGAATTCTCACCTCTGCGGCCCGGGTTCGAGCCCGGATCTGGTCAAGTGGGATTGGTGGTGGACAAAGTGGCGCTGGGGACGGATTTCTCCGAGTACTTCGGTTTCCCCTGCCAATTTTCTTTCCACAAATTCTCCATCATAATCACCCGGGGCAGGTACAATAGGCTATTCAGCGCCGCCGTGCCGAGTGTACCCAGCTGGGCTTCATCAACCAATATGCAAATTAGAAAAATTAACATTTGTGGATAGAGGGTGTAGCATGGCCAGTGCAACGGATTCCCACGGTCGTTAATGTCGGTTTTCTAGACCGGAGCCGCTACTTTTCCATTTAAGTAGCTCCTCAGTTATCCTCATGAGGCTAGGTGGGCCCCCTTTCCGGGCCAACTACTGCACATAAAATCTGGTAGCGGCGGGAATCGAAACGGGACCTCTGGATCTGTAGCCAGGAATTCTGACCACTAGAAGGTAACTTATCCGTATATTAACGGTTATAATACCTCGAAGGATACATTGAAATGGATACGGCACTTTCATTCTGTTGCATATGAATAATCGTTAAGCAGGGATCGCCCTGAAACCAGAAGTGTATTTAGTTGTCATGGAAACCATTTTCATTATTTTCCACCGTCGGTTGTGCACTGAGACAATGAAACATTTATTTTCCAGTGACACAGGCAACAGATGCGGTAAAATAATTTGACACTCTAAGTCGTTTTAATTATAAATATTTATTTAACACAAAATATAACTGGCTTTTCCTCATGATTTTATACCTTGCAGAAAATATAAACTAAATTGCGTTTACATAATGTAGATACGTGTATATTAGCATGCGGGAATATTATGCCATGCCGTTGCACATCACATCAAAACTTTTATTTAACAGATGTTAATACAGTTCCGCAAAATCATTTTCGGGTTGGAGGGAAAGAACTTAAAACTTCATGAGACTTCAAAGCAAGTGTACTTCATCGTATTTCAAATATAATCAGCAGCAGCGCTCATGAAAGTTAATAACTACCTTGCTGAGAAACACTATGTGCACTAATTCACAGACGAATGGAGGTTCTTGTGTGTTAAATATTTCAAGGTTAATTATCAATGATAAAATATATGAATTATTTAATGTTTTCACCGTGCAACTGAACTGTAACTTAATACTTTTATGTAGAGAAATGTTGAAATTTTCTTCGCAGTGCCTGAGAAAGTTAAGACTGTATAGTAATAAATATAAGTTCACTCTCTTTAAATGAAACAAGAATACTACTGTTCTTTATTTTGGTGTAATTGGAAGTGTGGATCATATGAATGTATATACTGTGAATATATGTAACAATATAAAAAAACCTCAGTGGTTTGAGTCCACAAGCGAACTACACCGACCAAGCAACCGCCGCTTGTCGACGAAGTTAGTGCCAACTTTAGCGGATAGAGGGTGTCGCGTGGTCAGCGCAACGATAATTTCGGTTTTCTAGATCGGAGCCGCTATTTCCTTGACATAGCTCCTCAGTTATCTTCACGAGGCTGAGTGGACCCCGATCCAGACCCACTACTTCTCAGAAAATTTGGTAGCGCCGGGAATAGAACCCGGACCTCTGGATCTGTAACCAGGAACTCTGGCCACTAGACCACAGAATCGGTCATGTAACAATATATATGTAACAGTATAAGCTGTTTTAAAGTTGCGTATTTGTAAATTTAATTCTGTGAAGTGTTTTCCTGTTTAGGATATTGATGGTAAATTTAAATATTTACATGTTTGTATTAACTAAATTCTCTAATTTGATTGACTTTCTTTCAAATTATATATTGACGAAGTAAACAGCGATAACATTCCTAAACTTCATGAAATCTTACAATAGAGAACTGGTATATTTTCATAGAGGTAGAACTATTATTACCAAATATCATTTATCAGATCCATAGTTTAATAGCCCGAAATCACATTGTGCCCAAATAAATTACACGAAATAACAATGTTCGGCGAATGAATGCTATAATTGGGCAATGTTGACTGCTTCAAAATAATTGTGAAATTAATCTTCAGGTCCTAAGGTTGACTGTTCATATTATGGTTATTGTCGGGCGACAACGCACCACGTTCACGTTTCCCAGAATATGACGTCTTCCTGTAACTTGCGCGTCATTTCTAACCCGGAACAAAAGAACATAAATCACATTCTTTCAGAAATTTCTGCATTATTTTTTCGATCTTAGGCTCAGACTATTTCAGTTGCAGTTCTGTTACGATTTAACTACTTTACCCAAAGAACTTCATAAGCCGATTGTATTTATATGCACAGGGCATATCCGACCTTACCACTATTCAAATATTATCAATTACAGAGCATTATTATTATTGTTATTATGTTTGCCTTGCAACTGTTGACTCGGCACTAATAAATATAGAATTGAATCGAATTATTATTATCGGTTTGGGCTGTTGTGTAAGCAAGCAAATATATACTTGATAAATTAATATTATTATTATAAACTTATATATTTGAAACTTAAATTCTTTCTTACTGTCATATTTTACACTATCCATCGCCCTTCCAGTCATTAAAATACTAATTGAAATATTTGTAAATGTATATATTTTACTTCCCTCACTTCTTAATGATAACTCCGATTTGTGCTAATAATAATAATAATAATATTGTTATACAAATTTCCTTGTTTTCTCTATTGTTTTCATCTGATTTGCTGTTTTGTTTTCTGTTCTTTACTCGTGCGCTCTTTGTAATTGGCCTCTGTGCTGCTAAATTTACCCCTAAATACATATGAATTTAATTGTATTATAATTTGTTCTGCTCTTCAGCCAAAATGAAATTTACTTTCCTAATCACGAAGACTCCCGCAACATATTTCGTAAAAGCAGCGATAGGTTGTGCTGTGTTACAGCAGAACTATGAAGGTAATTTTCGAAATAACATCTGCATGAATTGATCAAAATTCCTGTTTTATTAATACCTACGTTTTTGTGAAAGTCTTTGTTATTATAAATTGTTCCTATAAAATTTATTTTATTTCTACGCTATATAAGAGTGATTATCGGACTCGCCCAAAAGGGATGCACATAATTTTAAATGTTTCTTGCAAAATAAGCAGATACAAAAAATGAATGTGAAGTTCTCAAGGCGATGACTGTGAAGAGTATTATATTCTGGGATGTGAGTGGAGTCCTAGAGACGTTTGCCGACGTTTCGGAGGAATGAACTTTTTGACACTGTGTTTGATGAAAGTACATTCCTACGTAAGGGCAGTTAACTTCTACCGGGATACACACCATTAAATTCCAGAAGACAGAACGTTTCATTAAAAGTAATATTAATCAGCGAAGTAGCCGTTCCCTTTTATGAACGCTGTCTTAACCGTCAAGTGTGTTAATTACAAGTGAAGATGCTAGAAGTGAATGGAGCGACTCCAGCATTGTGAAGTGGACCAGCCTAATTACACGTCTTCTCATTCTTCCGAGCTAGACACCGCCCTAGCTGAATCTTCTTTGATGGCGGTCTCTCCTAAAATAGATGGAAACAAACAAGAACAAAAAATGAAGTTTTTATTATAAACACAGTGTCTGAACACATTTCATCTATCAAATGACTTGCTTAATTCTGTTGTACTGACTAACTAAATGACTCTATGGTACAGAGATTTATTGACCAGTTGTCAGTTACTCAGCTGGTTGCCAGCTGAGCAACTGACCGTTACCGTTTAGGAGAAAACTGCATAGTGAGGAGCTGCATAACTTATACTCATCGCTAAATATAATTAGAATAAGTCAGGAGGATTAGATTGGCAGGCCGTTTAGCTCGCATTGAGAGAAGAGGAATTTATACAGGATTTTGGAGAGAAAGCCTGAAGATACATATCAGATGACGGATTCTATTCGGCCCGGGTTCGATCCCGGGTCTGGTCAAGTGGGATTTGTGGTGGACACAGTGGCGCTGGGGCAGGTTTTCTCCGAGTTCTGCGGTTTCCCCTGCCAATCTTCATTCCACCAGTTGCTCCACAATCACCCTCACCTATCATCTGGGGCTGGTACAATAGGCCAGAAGTGGCCACAGTACAAGGAACTTAGTCCCACCCCACTAGCAAAAAAAAAAAGGATTCCTAAAACAGGATTGGGTGGTAAGGACTGGATTGTTCTGGCTCAGGATAGGGCCCAGTGGAGGCTCTTATGAACTAGAAAATGAACCTTCGAGTTCTATAGAAGTTTAAGAAAATCCTGAGAAGCTAAGAAACTAGCGGCTTCTCAAAAAGAATGAAGTGGTTGGCGAAGAATTTATTGGAATGGATGGTGAGTCGGAGTGATATGGAAGGAAGCGACAGGACTCAATTTCCAGGACTATTCAGCCTGGGGACAATCACAGGTGTTTCAAATGTGACGTGTAAACTCCACTGAAGTGGCTCAGAATTGGATCCAGTAATGTGATTTTGTGAGCATGATGATGAAATTCTTGGTTAATTCCATACGTAAAATTTCTTGTACTGACAGGAGGTTGGAGAAAACTACATAATGAAGAACTTCATAACTTGTACTCAAGGAGGATGAGCTCGGCAGGGTATATAGCACGAATGGGGGAGAGAGGAATGCATATAGGATATTGGTGTGAAAGCCAGAAGGAAGGAGACCACTAGGAAGACGAAGGCGTAGGTGGGTGGACAGTATTAAAATGGATCTTAGAGAGATAGGATGGGATGGTACGGATTGGATTGGTTTGGCTCAGGATAGGGACCAGTGGAGGGCTCTTGTGAACACAGTAATGAACTTTCTGGTTCCATAAAATGCTAGGAAATTCTTGAGTAGCTGCAGAATTGGCCTCTCCTCAAGAAGGGCCCAGGTCCATGAGTAAATGAGTAAGTTCAATTCTTATACCGTTTTGTTATTTATGTTCCATGTGATATACCAGTATATAAACGAAACACAAGAGATGGTCCCATCTTGTGTGCCATGTTAAGGAAGGAGAGATCCCGAAGGTATTTGCAGCGTCTGTTTCCTTCATCCTTGTTTTTCCCCCATGAGAGCGTCTTCATTGAATCTATCTACCAGCTGCGGAGTTGTTTTTGATAGAATCAAGTCCCTGTGTTATAAGTTCATATGCGCGGTCGCTGATTCGAGAAGCATTTCTTTTTTGTATATACTTCAATGGTGTGTAAGACTGGGAGGCGGAATGAAGTAATATCTCATAATAACCGTAATGTTTCTGCATTTTTGTAAGAAGAAACCTTAATTCTGCAATATTAAAGCACAATCTTTCGTAGGAAATGTTTGGATCTAAATAAGTTTCTAGAAACAGTTCTGTAAACTGTGGAAGGGGCATTGCAGATTTATATTTGAAAACTCTACAGGCATTAGGCTAGTATACCTGAAGCTGGTCAGCTTAAAAATAAGCAAGAAGTTCTGGGAAAAACGCATCTCCTACTTCCCTTTGATACGACACTAACCGCATAGATAATGAAAAATTAAAGGGATAGACACAGAAAACAAGGTGATCTTATAAGCCTATTAACCAAATTTAAGGCGGGACACAAACACACAGACAGCAAGGTGATCTTATANATATGGAGAATTGATGGACAGACACAGACGGATAAACAGAAAGCAAGAAAATAGCATAAGCATCATTCTGTTATTTTTTTTCAAACTAAGGAAATTAGGTTGAAAACTGGGAATAGGTTTCTTATCTGGTAAGAGCAATACAGGCCGTGAGGCGCCCAAATCATCGTTCTCCTGTTTTCTGTTTTGTTTACCAAACTATCAGTTTCTACAGATACGTCAGGGCCTGAATGCTGTCACGTGTAAGGGTTGCGTGGTTACTAGACGGGGTGTGGATTGGGGCCGAGGTCCAAAGAGCTGTAGAGCCATAGATAGGTAGGGAGACAGACAGACATGACAGGTAGACATAATATCGTGAGTATTAATAGAAAGTGTTCGCCTTCCTGAGACACAATAAACAAATAATCACCCAAATGCTAACGAGGTTCAGCACACTAATTATCTACTCGAAGCTCGAGAGTAACCTTACAAAAGGTCATGTAAAATTTTCGTACTCATACGCTGTAAATATTTTACGTTTAACGAGGAGTAGAGAAGAATTATAGGAAATTTTGTATCGATTCTGGAACAAAATCAATACGCAACAAGGACAGGAACATGTGCTCCGTTCGGGAGTAAACATACGTTTACCAAATGCGTCAGCGATTTTGAGAATTTTCGGATATTGGTGTCCTCCCACTGCCTATTGTTGCCAGGGAGAGCACGTCCGAACTGTACACAGTCATAAAAACCATTCATCTTTTTTCGTGACTGAAAGCTTCGACCGAAATGGCATCTATGTAAAAGCCTAAGGTTATCTCGGATTTCATCAATATATCCGCAACTAACCAACTAAGGCCGGCACGTAAGGCTGACCTCACCGCCATCTGTGAGTCGATTGTCCGGAAAATATGGGAGTCTTGAAGTCTCATAACCATATGAGTTTCCGCGGCATGTTACATGGATAGATTTACCTTTACACTGTTTTCAATGGAGTTCCTAATTTATCAAAAACTATTGTATAAATAAGGAGCTGTATTTTTAGGCGTAATTTACCAAGTGAACACCTTATACACAAGTTATGTTTGTCCCTCTGTTTCTCTGTTTGTCACAGCATTAAAACCCAAACCGTTAATCCAGATTTTCTATAAATTCGATATGGGATATCTTCAGTGAAATTTGTCCTACAGTTCTAATATTGAGCCATGACGGTCCTCAACGAAACCTGGTTTACACCGGGCCACAGATGGACGTCCCAACCCGTTTTACGCCCTGCATGCTATAATACGTACTTGCAATCCAGGCTTGGATCCGAGAGATAGTCCGTTTCAATCCCTAACGGATTTTGGGGTTTTCTCATGACTTCCTGGCAAATTAGGCCACGAACGCTTCCCTCCAAAACTTTCCAATTCAATCATCCTATCATTTGGCATTATTAGTGCATAGTCTCGATACTGAGAACGTCGAAAAGTGTACAACAAAAAATATAAACGTAAATATGGTGATGTATCGACTTAGTGCTAGGCAACGACTCTTTATACACTACCCAGAAAAAAAAACAATAAGACCTATGTTCTCCGTGGACCATGCTACAAGGAACACAATACTCGACAAGAAAAGGTGTTTTCTATTCGGTTTTGCTTTGCCGCATGAGCAAAATGTACCTCTGCATTCATTCACATTGCTTTCAGGCGGGTGTTTCTTTCCTTGCATTTTTATAAACATTCGCGTTATCGAGAAATGTTCCAAAAATTGTTAAGAGCTTAATGAGATCTGTGTTCTATTTTATGTACATATTTTTCCTGATATATTTTCCGAAGCAGTTGATAAATTTCAATTTTAGCTTGAGATGTTGTCTGTTGCTTATATTTCACTGATAAGTAATAAAGTTGTCCTTGTGCTTAACTAATTAACCACTACGCCGGGAGGAGGCAAGGGGAGTGGATATATAGAACCACATATTCTTGAACTCGACAACAGTTGGAGGTGAGTGGTTTGCTTCACACCCCGGCCACTTTACCTCCAGGGGCAGAACCCTCGGTTTCTTTTGAACAGGAGGCTGGGTGGGTCCAAGAACGGGTCTGGGCGACGTGGAGAGGGGAAAAATTCTTGCCCCTACCTGGACTCGAACTCCAACCCCTCTGTCGTGCAGACGTAGGTAGTCGCTATACCGACTGAGCTATCCCTACAAACAAAAATTGTGGAAATTTTTCCCCTAGACCAAATTTAATTGAAGAAGGGCAGCGGATAGACACGCCCCGAATTTCAAATTCCAATCAGTAGCAATATCTGACCCACAACAGGAAATGCCAACACGTGACACAGTGGGCACCCCCACTATTATATGTCTATTACGTGCACCTTGTGAAGTTTGTGCGCATTCGGATGAAATCTGCCAAGTGAACTGACGAGATCGGCTTAACATCGATCTGACATTTGAATTCTGTGTTAGCGTCTGGCGCCTTTCTATGTCAGCAGTTTCTCCTACACCAACGTAACTCGGGTATTCTCTACTACAGGCGCTAGCCTTTTTCTTTTTCGCTTAATTTTATATTAAGCATATGGCTGCTTTTATTTGGGTTGAAGATCAGAGGTAGCAATGGAAATCTCATATGTAAATAAAGGCTGCAATTAAAAAGGCAAGAACCCGTTGGAACAACCGATACTTCTGCTGTTCTGTGAATACAATTACATACTTTGTCTCTATTAGTGTTGGGCGCTCGTGTGCATTCTTGGCAAGAACACTTCCATGGCTTTTAAAGGTCACGCATGCTTCCATTAAATATTACATTATTAGCGAACCTCAGAGAAACATCCAACGTCTTTTGTGGAGGATGTCCCAGAACAAAGCTATGTGGCCATCTGTAATTTCATTTTCTGTTTGTTGCACGTTAATAGCAGAAAATTAAAATAACGAACAGAAGATGGGAGGACAGGACCGCTAAGCTCTTTCATTAAGGGAATGCTTGTCTTGTCTCT